CAAAACTTTGGAAAATAGGAGTATTTCATATTGTTGAATGTATCCTTTAAGGTTGGTGAAACTACTTAAGGGAAGAGTTACATGGAGACATATTGCTGAAAATTAACATTTATCCTAATAAATATCTTCACTTTATTTTTTTTTCTATCATAAAAAACACCCCACATCATTTTCAGGATTTAAAGGAGGTGACAAAGGGTTGAACAAATACACAGGGAATACTTAAGCTATAGAGAATGCCATTTTTAGTATTAGATTTCCTTACAATTGACTGAACAGCAGAACGGCAGGTTGGCTGGGGGCGGGGCTGGTGAGCAGGCGGCGCCAAGCCAGCCAAGGCGCATGCCAGCGGGCAGAGGGAGGGGACGGCGATTGGGGGGGCAGCGGCAACCAGCGGCGGCAGAGGGGCGATTGAGGGGGCAGGGGTAGCTGCTCACCAGCCAGTGCCTTCCCCTGATCAGCCCGCCCAGTCGCCTCCCACAGAGGGAGGCCAGACTGTGGCTTGGGCCCGCTCTCCACAGGGAGTGGCCCTACGCTGTCAGTAGGACATCCCCAGACTGCGAGAGGGCGCAGCCCCCCCCCCCCCCCAGTGCACGAATTTTCCTGCACTGGGCCTCTAGTCCTATATAATAAAAGCCTAATATGCAAATCGACTGAACGGCAGAATGACTGGTGGAAAACTGGTCGCTATGATGTGCACTGACCACTAGGGGGCAGATGCTCAACACAGGAGCTTCCCCCAGCCTGCAGGCCCCAGGCCAGCCAAGGCGGGTGCCAGTGGGGCCCCCCCAACATCACCCCGCTGGTCGCCCACAGATCGGCCCTAATCGCTGGCCAGGCCTAGGACCCTACCAATGCACGATTTCGTGCACCGGGCCTCTAGTCTAGTATAAATATTGGTGAAGTGCTTGGTACCTGTGATTTTAATCCCTCAATGTAATCTTGACCTTCTGAGTACCTGGGTCCACTCACTAGTCACTTGCCCCCTTAGACCCAGATTTCCTGTTAACCTGTTCTTGTTGCTCCATGGATTGGCCCTCTTTTCCAGTTCCCCAACCATAGTTGGTATGCAGACAGTGACTTGAGGACTTTGGACGGAATTGAGGAGCAAAGCTCATCATTCTCACTTCTTTTTCTGCACCTACTCCTATCTTTTAACCTTCCCTTGTATACTCTGCTGGTTCTATACCCACTTCTTTGGTTACTCCTCTGGTTCTGCTTTGCCCATTTGTCCCCTAGATGTGGTTATAACCAAAGGCTCAGTTGTGGCTCAGTCTTGCCATTAGAAATGTATTTGTAGGTGTCTGCAAAGTATTGGTATGGGATGGTAAACATTTCCGTGATGTGTAGAGGTTTCAGATTGAGTGAGTGGTTGGTGGAGAGGGTCCATGTAGGAAACTTGTGCTAATAATGAGGTAGTGAGGTTCTAGACTATGATTGTACAGGTAACACTGAAAGGAAAGGATGCATAGGAGAATTTGAAAAATATAAAATTATGGCAGTTTGGTACCAAAGGGGGGGGGGCAGTGTGGAGAAGGGGGTGAGATGTAGAATAAGGCAGAAGGCCTTGCCAGGGATCTTCAGAAGCTTTGAATGAGATCAGGAAAATAATGGTTCAGTTCAGCAGAGATAAACAAGTACAGGAGATATCTAATTTTGGAGGAAAGGTGGTAACCAGTTTGCTTTTGTATATGGTTCAGCTGGTGGCAGGACATAAAAGAGATATGTAGGCAAATGCACAAAGAGGTAGGTGACGTAGATAGATCCTACTGCCAGTGGGTAACAGAGGCCAAATTAATTACCATGTTAGAATCTGCTTTCCTGTTTCCAATGGGAATGGGATAAACGAATTCTAACCAATTCTAAGATCTCTGCTATGTAAGAGTCTAGACTACAGTGATATTCAACAGGCAGATGTGGGTCTGAAGCTCAAGGGATAGCTTTTGGGAAGTAACTTTTGGAGATACAATTTTGGGAAGTAACTTTTTCAGCACATTTCTCTTTCTGTACTTTGTAAATACATTGGGAATATTATTAATATTTATTGAGCTACTGACTGTGTTCCACACACTGTCCTAGATATTTTGTATATATATCATCTCACTAGTGAAAACAAGCTCATGAGTTCATTATTACTACTCCATTTTGTAGACTAGTGAAGCCAAGATTTAGAGAGAAGTATCAAACTAGGATTGGAACCCAGATCTGTCTGATCCCAAAGTCTGGACTTGTTAACCTGCCACACCACAGAGAATCTGTCAGGGTGTCAATAAATAAAAAGTTAAATGTGAAGTTCTTTAAAACAGAGAAGAGCTTAAACCGTTAAAAATGAACTTGAATGTCAAGGATGGAGCTCCCCAGAAAACAAGCAGAGGGCACAATTCTCTCCTGATTCAGAGGAGATAGGCTTGTGACTTTTACCAAACTGATGAACTTGGTAATGCTAACATGTGCCATTAAAGGTCACCTTTATAGAAGCACATCTTTCACAGAGGTGTTTTTATTTCCTATTTAATTTAATGCTGTTCATAACCTTTTAGATTTGAATTATTGGCAAGAATTCTAATATTTTAAGGTAGGCAGGAAACAAAAAGCTGTTGACAACTCCTTGTCACCCACTGGTTTTGGTTGGTATTGGACATAGTTAGCAGTAGGTACTTATTCCTTAGTCTTTCTGGGTCACCTAGAATCCTCTTTTACTTGTTTCTTTTGCTTTTCCTGGCCTGGAAGTGGCATTTGTCGGTTCTTTACCTCCTGTCCCATGCAGAGACTGAAGCTATTCTTTATAGCTGTGCATCTTTCTGGTCCATTTTCCTGATCCATACCAAATGTGTTTGAGTCTCAAGCCAGGTTTGAAGTATCACTTCACTTTCTTCTCTTTTGATTAAAAATGTCCTCCCTGTCAGCTTTTAAATCTTGAAAACCTCCTTGTGTCCTTGACAACTAAACAAAGGAAGAAGTGTTGGGAGATCCAGATTACAATTAAAATTGTATTGTTTGCTTAATAATTTGAAGTTACTGTTTCATAATAAATGAAAATGAGCATCTCGGAGGTTTTTAAGGGAGGCTGAAGCTGGTATGGGCAGAAATCCAGATGTTAAAATTATTTTATAATCACTGTTTTAAAGACAAATATAAAGACTGAAGTGGACTACTTTTTTTGAAATGTATTTTTTTTATTGATTTCAGAGAGGAAGGAAGACATAGAGAGAAACATCAATGATGAGAGAGAATCATTAATTGGCTGCCTCCTGTACGCCCCACCCTGGGAATCGAGCCCACAATCTGGGCATGTGCCTCCTGGCTTGTAGATTGATGCTTAACGATTGAGCTATACTGGCCAGGCTGAAATGGACTACTATTAAGGTCTTATTGCCTCTGGAGGTGAATAGGACCAATGCTGCTTTTTGCTTGGTTGGAGCAATTAAGGTCCAAAAAAGAATGAGGCCCAAGCAAAATCCCCAAATCTTGGCACTCTCCAGGGGAGAAAACAGATCGCACTGCTCAATTTATCTGCGCTGCTTGCTTTCTCTTTGGGAGAATCACTTCCTTGTAAATAGGTCACTGATAACAATCTGCCAAAAGCATTCATTGTCAAACTCACATAGCCAGTTACATCTGTTTTTACTAATGTGGTGCTAGTCTGTGTCTTCTTCCTTTTCAAGTCCTCTTTAAGACCTGGAAACTTTCCTGCATTATAGAATTTTTTCCTTCCTTCCTTCCTTCCTTCCTTCCTTCCTGCCTTCCTGCCTTCCTGCCTTCCTGCCTTCCTGCCTTCCTTCCTTCCTTCCTTCCTTCCTTCCTTCCTTCCTTCCTGCCTTTAAATGTACCTTGGCTATACTGAATTGGACTAGTAATCCTTGGCTCATACATGGCTCTCTTTTATTTTATTTTTTATTTATTTATTTTTTATGGCTCTCTTTTAGTAGGAATTTAATTAACTAACAATAGAATGAATAACAATAATGACATCATCCAACTGGAGAACTAAACCTGTTGATAGTTTATATTTACCTTTGTGCTTCTCCCCAGCCTGTATACCTGTGTCTCTTCCCTTACCCCTTTGTGTTTAGTATTCTGTTATTTTTTTTTTAGTCACTGTAATAGTTTTATCATATGTGTATGTGTGGAGATATATATATATATATATATATATGTTTGTGTGTATGTGTATATAAGTGTCTATGTGTGTATAATCTAAATATATAAACTAGGTAATATACTGTTTATTTTTAGTTACTTATGAACTTTATAAGAAGTGTATTATTCTATATGTAGAAACCTGGAATTAGATTTTTACACTGAATATTATGTTATGAATATTCACCCAAATTTATGTACAGTTTACTTAATTCATTTTTTATTGTTGTGTAATATTCCATTGTATTAATATGTCATAGAATTTGGGTAGTTTCTAAATTTTCGTTGTTAAAACAGTACTGCTATGATTATTCTTATCCATATTTCCTGCGCAAGGAGTTTTTACAGGCTTGCTTTAAGATTCAGTGGCGATATGTATAGGAAGTGCTTCATAAACTGGGAATTGTAACACATTCAGATTTGCATGTTAGAGATGGGGACTAGAATGAAGATGATGTACAGAAAGTAAGAAGACCAGATGGGATTGTTATACAAATCTGAGATGTGGAGGGTCTGAACAATTGCAAGTAGAGAACAAGTTAGCTATGAGAAAAGTTGGGGAGGGACATGCTGGTACCCAGAAAGTAATTAATTTGACTGTGGTTTGGTGAGAGAGAGGACTTTTCCCCCAGCTTTCCAATTAAAGTGACGAGATAGAAGATGCCACTAATAATTGAGATTCAGAGTAAAAGATGAGCGATAAGTGATGGAAGGAAAGCTAGTGATGTCACCTTTTGGTAAGTTGCTCTAGGGATCCTGGAAGATATCAGTGTGAAATGGGTGGTAGACAATTGGAAATACTGAATTTTTGACATGGTAAATTATGTCCTTCACACCTTGTCAAGGAAGTGAAAGGTACAATGGTGGTTCTTCAGGTGAGCTTTTGAGAAATGTTTTGCAAACTGCTGACCTGTAAGGAATCATTCCATAGCAACACTTAAGAATGGACCGGTGGGGACAAGGTTATCTGGCTTTGGATTACTTACCTTATTTTCCAAAAAAGGCACTATTACACTGCTCCTGTGGCTTATGATCACACATATTGTACCTTGCCCTTATGAGAATCAGACCAAACACCAAAGGGAAAATGAATATCAAGGTGTTTTTCAGGAAAGCCAATTTTAGGAAAGTTGTAGACCAAAGCAGCTTCACACGTTGGAGTCCTTATTTGCCCCTTCCTTTTATATCATACCTTTATTGTAGCAACATCTGTGTAGCAGTGTTTTCCAAACTATATTTCTAGGAACAATATCCTAGAAAATAAATGAAAAAAAAATTAGTGCTAAATTTGTGAAATACTGCTTATGTAATCCTTTCTGAGAAAGTTACAATACATATTAACATGTTAAATGCCCTAAACCCCAAATTATTCCAATTAATTTAAAACATTTTTTTGTCTTCTATCTGTTGACATCTCATAGAGCTGTGCTCTGAGCAATACACTTTGGAACTGCTAATCAAAAGAATGACTTTGTTTATGATCCTCATTCATTATACAAAATTTAAATTATTTTAAAGCAGAAATATGTGTATCTTTATCTATTAGTAACCATCTTTTAAATTTTTTAAAAAATTTTACTAAATTTTTATTCTTTGAAACATTCACTTCTCCAGAGCACCTTAATTCCTGATAAGAACAGTTAACAGACATTATATCTTAAGTGAAAAAAATTTATGATAAAGTTTTGAATTTACAGTATTAGGAACTATATTGCTTCTCATACATTTTATTCATTTATTTTTATTTTTTTCAGTTACCTGACTGGATCAAGATTGGAGAACTGACTTCCAAAAATTGTCATCTTTTTGTAAACCTTCAATCAAAAGGCTTAAAAGGGGGAGGTATAACATTGACTTTACCAGGATATTTTGCCCTTTTTAGTTGAATAAAGATTATGTTTTAAAAGTGAAATGAAAGTGTATAATATTGGGATGTGATGAGTCGATATCAGGGCCAGAGGAAAACAAGGGCAGATGGAGTTAGTGAGTTATAAAAATGTGTGGGATATATTAGTCTGTGGAACAGTTGGGGTTTGGTCTTGGTGCATAGTTGTGCAAAAATGATGCAAATAAATTTATAGTGATGATTCTGTTTCTTAAGCACAGACTTATTTTTTACTTATATACAGATTTTTTGTTGTTGTTGTTGTTGTTCTGTGCATCTGAGAAATTACTTTCCTTCCCCCATTCTCCTTGTACTTGACTGTCAGCTATCTGAAGGAAACCTGGTCAATCAGTTCTAAGAATCTCTAGTTTGGAAAGGCTTAACGGTATTTGACTGGACAGCCATTGAGATGGTGATTGTGCTGAATTTCAGAAAAATCAGATCATTGGTTGAGATTGAGAATATTAAGAATGTCATTATCAGCACCATTAGGTTTGGCTTATAATTTTGCAGCAAAGCACCATTTATTTCAGTTGTTTTAGAAAATATCAGCCCTTTCCCCCATGCTCTTTATTTTTTAATTAATAATCTTTTGTGACATTTAGTATATTTAACATATTCTTAAAACTTAATTTGTAGCTAATGAAAAATCTTGAGATTTGATAAAGTTGAATCTGCTTTACTTTTTTTTTAATCCACACTTGAAAAATGTTTTTATTGATTTTTTAGGAGACGGGGGGAGAGAGAGAGAGAGGGGGAGAGAGAGAAAGAAACAACAATGTGAGAGAGAAGCATTGATCGGTTGCCTCTGTCAATGGGGGATCGGATGCGCAACCTAGGTATGTGCCCTGACCAGGAATCAAACCCACAACCTTTTGGTATACAGGATGATGTTCCAACCAACTGAGCCACACCAGCCAGGGCAGAATCTGCTTTACTCTCTACTGAATCTGTTTATTACGTAGAGTTTCATAACCGAGAGCTGCAGTAAAACATGAAGTTTTAACTTGTAGAATTTTACTTGTCTTGGAACCAACTAACACATTGGTAACAGGCCATGGGATTTTTATTTTAGGTAGATTTGGTCAAACAACTCCACCACTTGTTGATTTTCTCAAGGACATATTAAGAAGATATCCAGAAGGAGGACAGATTCTTAAGGTAGGGCATGTGTTGTGTACGTGTATGAATTTACTTTGATAAAAATGAGGGGAATAAAATTACTTAGAAGTCTTGTTAGTGTTTACATGTTTTAGAATTTTGTCTAGATTTGAATAGCTATACTTATTACCCTCTGCACCTGCAGTGCATTCACAGGATGGTGTGGGTTGAGAACACAGTCAATATAAATACGTGGGGTTTCAGAGCAAAGGGGACCCACTAAGTTGCAGTAATCAAGTAGTGCTACTCTAGGAACACTTTTTTGTAACTGTATATAATTCTATAATGTAATTTTATGAATTGCTTGTGAAACATTGTACAATGGCATTACAAATCTACCAACCAACCAACCACACAAACAAAATAATACAGAATCCACATTCAGGGGCCATCGACATGTGCTCATTTGACCCCTGGTTTTAGAAGTTTGCTTTTGGGAAGACTTTAATTATTTCAGTTATTTAAAGCTATTTATGATGTATTCTTTTAGTTTGAATACACTCAAAAAAAATAAGCAACCATAAAAGAAAGCAATATGGAAGATATTGCAAAGATTAGATTTTGTGTTTAAGTTTAGCAAGACACCTCCTTAGTTGTAAAAGATCAGTCATTATGCATTTCCTTCTCATTAATTTATTTAGTGTTTATTACCAATTCTTTAGTCCTCATATTTTCTAGTTTAGATGGTAAATTTTTAGAAAATAAGGACTAGGTTAATAGTCATACTCAGAGCTGAAAGAGGATTGCTGCATCTTCAGTGATTTTAATAATGACATGTATCATTTAAGAATAGACATCTGATTCACAGAGTTAATTTGCAAACCATTTTTATATTGACATATTAGGAAAGTGAAGATAGGAAGAGTATGTTTATTGGGTTGAAATGGGGGTAGAGAGGCAAAGAGAATAAATTTAAATTTGAAGATTTAGTTGATGGTAACAGTATTATCAATTCAAAAGTGAGTGATAAATCCTATCAGGAAACAAGGCCACAGTAATGAGTGAGCTCTTTGGACATTCCTGTAGCTAGCAAGCAGCTGATATTTACTCAGTCCTCTTTGCTTACTGTATATATTTATGTGCGAGCCAGCTGAATATAATCTTTGTTCCTTGGATGTTTTAGTAGAATTCAACCGTTTTAGATTTAATAGGAATCTTAGTCTTATGCCTTTTGTGATGTTTGCTGAAAGGTCCAGATATTTTAATAAATCGCCCAAGATTATATGCAAATTGACATATTAATGCCTCTTCTTCTCAGAATCAGTTTGAGAGAGATCCCCTGAGAAAAAGCATCCCATCCTATTTTTCGTTCAACTTGAGACTGATAGTTGGAGCTTGGGAGTTGGGACTTTATCTCCAGTTTTCTTCATCTCTGCTCCCTAAAATGCACATAAATAAAAAATAGATATCCAAATGAAACCAGGATCCAACCTTGAAAGTACTCTCATTTTGAAAGTTAACATTATATTTTGCTCCCTTTTAATTCTTATTTCTCCTTTATATCATAATAGCCTAATGTAAATAAGATTACTAATTTCAGGGATTGTGTTAGACTAAATAGTGTAGGAACTAGTCTACAAATTCTATGAGAAATAGGCAGTTGTGTGAACAGGAGTAATTTGTATTCAATAAGGAAGTAGATAAGGGCATGTTTGGGGTTGAACAGCAGTTGGGTAAGACCTCCCAACCTCTTGGTGTGCACCCAGTGAACTACACGTCTTACCTGATCTCAGAACTTGCTCTCAGATCTGTGCTAGTCCCTTATTCAGACTTAGAGTTGTCTCATTTCATGTGAGCACTGTCACCTTTTTACTCTGATAAAGGTTTTGCTGTTGGCATTGCTGTCTTCAGTTCTTGCCCATCCCCCCCAACCCACCCCAGGTTTAGTAATACCAAGGTGCCAGAAAAGTTAAAATATAGTTCTTCCCAATGTTAGAGGTTTATGAGTGTAAAAATAACAAGATGGGTTATTGTGTTTCTAAAGACCCATCCATTTAAAATGTAACCACCTGATTTGGTTTGGCCTAAATCACAGCTCACCCAGGCAATTGCTATGTATTGACTTTTCTATACTTTAGATAAGGTCCAAAATAAACTAGGGTTAATATCTTTGAAGTTCATTTCAAGTTCTAATGACTATGGTATTGGCTCTAGCAGTTGGACTCTTATTTTAGAGTGTGGAACTCCCAACATGATTTTGGTAGGTGTGCCAAAGTGATTGGGGTTGTTGAGACTGGGGATTTTTTTGAGGCTACTGATGGGTATAAATCTTGTAGTTTTCCCTTTTCCTTTCTCACATGACAGTGCTTTTATTACCCATTCACCCATCTACTTACTTATCCACCAGACAATATTACTATCCTTTTTATGAAAGGAATAAGGCAGTGCTGACCTTCAAAAAACTTTCATCTTAGTATAGGAGAAAGACATGCTAACCTCAAGTTTTCAAGATGCAACATACTGTACATATAGACTGATTTTTTTTTTTCTAAGAGAAAGGTAAGTTTGGTAAGCAAATGATAAATGAGATCTTTTTTGGTAATTGCTTGAGAATGGGTATTTATCCCAAATGACAAAATAGTCTGTGTAGTTTGGAACTTGAGTAATTTCTTTTGTATGAAGGCTTTGGGTAGGTTGTAAATAAGAGGCAGAGTTGTAAATAGTCTCAGGATTTGTGTTGCAGGCTAAGAATAGCGAGTTAAAAAAGGCATTGTAAGTATGTGTAATTGAAGAAGGACTCATGGTCTTTTCAACCATACTCATATGTATGTAACAATTACTTTCAGTAGTATCCTCACCAGATCTTAAAGATAATGATGCAAGCAGTGGGTTTTCTTTACTGAAATGTAATTATTTTTTAAATATTATAGGTAAATATAAAGATGGGCAGTAGATTACTGTATTATGAAATATTATTTTTGGTGTATATCTTGATTAGGAATTAATTCAGAACGCAGAAGATGCTGGTGCCACAGAAGTAAAATTTTTGTATGATGAAACTCAATATGGAACAGAGACTCTTTGGTCAAAAGATATGGCACAATATCAGGGTAAGAATCAATATTTAGGAGTAAGTTTTATGTACTAACAGGTGCTTTTTATTGATTTATAATACTCTGTTTAGTGAACAGTCTAATTACCACTCATTCTTCAATTCTTGGTATATTTCATTCCACTTCAGATGGTTTTCTCTGCTTTTGGTGGGCAGGTATCTCTGCTAGTTGGTATTTTTAGAGAACAAAGAAAAAAATCTCAACTCAAAGTAACAAGCAGTGTAAATTCAGTTGGCCCTTGAACAATACAGGCTTAAACTGTGCAGGTCTACTTATATGCAGATTCTTTTTAATAAATATACAGTTTTCCCTCTGTGTCCCTGAGTTTCACATCCTCAGGTTCAAGCAATTGTGGATTGAAAATAGTAATTTTGATCCACAGGTGGGAATATACGAACGCAGAGGACCTACTGGATACATTGTTCTATGCCATTTTATGTAAGGGACTTGGGCATCTTTTTTGGTGTCTGTGGGGAGTCTTGGAACCAGTCCCCTGTGGATACTGAGGGACCATTGAAGTTTTGGGGGAGTCAAAAGTAAAACACAGATTTTCAACTGGGTGCATTGGCGCCTCTAATCTCCACCTTATTCAAGGGTCAACTGTACATAAGCCTCTTGTTCTATTTAGTCACTTCTGAGTATCTTATATCGTTAGCAACACAAAAAGATACCTTTTCCATATATATAACACTTCTCTACATTTGGAAAGAAGAGGCTTCTGCTTTTAGGATACCCTTGAAATGTTTTGAAGCGGGTTGGAAAGAAATTTTGAAGGAGATAAGAGAATAAGGAAAGCGAAAGACAATAAGACAGTGATGGCGAACCTATGACACGCGTGTCAGAGGTGACACGCGAACTCATGTTTTTGGTTGATTTTTCTTTGTTAAATGGCATTTAAATATATAAAATAAATATCAAAAATATAAATCTTTGTTTTACTATGGTTGCAAATATCAAAAAATTTCTATATGTGACATGGCACCAGAGTTAAGTTAGGGTTTTCAAAATGCTGGCATGCCAAGCTCAAAAGGTTCGCCATCCCTGCAATAAGAAAACCATAACCAATAGATTCCTGATACCTCAGTTATACTCTTTGAAGTGTTGTTTTTTAAAAAAAATCATGATTTTCAGTGCAGCTATGAAGTCAATAGGATGATTGCAAATGACTGTATATTACATAGAAAGTTATTGAGAAAAAGGAGGATCAATTCAGACTTTTTCCTGAACATATTTTTAAAGAGATGTAAGTCATATATTTTTTAAAAATATGTTTTATGGTTCAGGAGGGTAATCAACATTATTGTTAAATATTTAAACATTAAACATTTAGTACTTCTTATACCTAATAGATTTATTCTTAGGCCAAATTTGTGATATGAGAGCTGCATCTTTTTATTCTATAAAGAGATGTGGTGAGACATAATACATCAGTCCTAACTCCTGGGACATTTGTGATCTTGGGCATGTCATCTCACCTCCATTTGTCATGAGAGGATTGAGCCAGTAAGATTTCCTGGTTCTAAGATCCCATGGTTTAATGTAAACATTGTTAAAAAAATACCGACTGTGGTTATGAGGGGCGTTTGCTTAAGTCCCGATACTATACAGTGGGGGCACTGGTATGTAGAGTGGAAGCTCTGATCCTCATATTTACTCAAGGTGATTAAGCAGATTACTGAGCCTCACTTAATTTAAGTCTGCTCAGCTATACGATGGTAATAAGAACAAACTTTACCACCAGTTATTTTGAGGATTAAATCAGATCATTTATGTGATAATGTTTTAGGTCTGCTGTCATACTGACACTAGTGTGTATTAGAGAACCATAAATGAAAGAGTGAAGAGATTGTAGGAATATTTTGTTGTAAAATGTTACCTAAATTGTATGATTTATTTTATTTATTTTTATTTTTATTTTTTTGCTTCTAGCCTTGACTTTCATTTAAAAATATTTGAAACAAGGTTATTTAACTGAGTTGGTGTATAAGTATACTTGGAGATAGTCTATTTATTTATTTATTTATTTTCATCCTCACCTGAGGATATCTATATGTTTCGAGAGAGGAAGGAAGAGAAAGAGAAACATTGATATAAGAGAGAAACATCAATTGGTTGCCTCCTATATGTGCCCCAACTGGAGATTGAACCTGCAGTCTAGGTATGTGTCCTGACGGAATTGAACCTGAAACCTTTTGGTGCATGGGATGCCATTCCAACCCACTGAGCAACCTGGCAAGGGCTAAAGATAGGCTTTAAAAGTCAAATGGGAGTTCCATTTTTAATTTTTTGAGGAAACTCCATACTGTTTTCCACAGTGGTTGCACCAGTCTATATTCCCACCAGCAGTGCATGAAGGTTCCTTTTTCTCCACATCCTCACCAGCACTTGTCATTCATTGATTTGTTGATGACAGCTATTCTGACAGGTGTTAGATGGTACCTCATTGTCATTTTGATTTTCATCTCTCAGATGATTAGTGACTTTGAGCATGTTTTCATATGTCTCTCGGCCTTCTGTAGATCCTCTTTCAAAAAGTGTCTATTTGAGTTCTTTGCCCATTTTTTGATTCGATTGTTTATCTTCCTTTTGTTAAGTTGTATGAGTTCCCTGTAAATTTTGGAGATTAAACCCTTATCAGAGATAACACTGGCAAATATGTACTCCCATGCAGTCGGCTTTCTTATTGTTTTGTTGATGGTTTCTTTCGCTGTGCAGAAGCTTTTTATTTTGATGTAGTCACATTTGTTTATTTTCTCATTAGGAGCTGTATCAGTAAAGATATTGCTACGACATATGTCTGATATCTTGCTGCCTATGGATTCTTCTAAGATTTTTATGGTTTCCTGTCTTAAGTCCTTTATCTATTTTGAGTTTATTTTTGTGTATGGTGTAAGTTGGTGGTCTAGTTTCATGTTTTTGCATGTATCTGTCCAATTTTCCCAACACCATTTATTGAAGAGACTATCCTGACTCCATTGTATGCTCTTGACTCCTTTGTCAAATATTAATTGAATATAATGGCTTGAGTCGACTTCTGGGTTCTCTGTTCTGTTCCATTGGTCTCTGTGTTTGTTCTGTGCTAGCATCAGGCTGTTTTGAGAACAGTGGCTTTGTAATATAGCATAATATCTGGTATTGTGATCCCTCCAACTTTGTTCTTTTTTCCCAGGATTGCTGAAGCTATTCGGGGTCTTTTTTTATTCCAGATGAATTTTTGGAAAGTTTGTTCTAG